TCTGATGGGGATTTTAGCGACTATCCAAGAGGAAAATGGACGTTATGCAAAGTTTTACGGTGTTTCAGTGAGCTACCTTCTCTGTTCAGCAGTTTCCCCGTTTCCTGAAGCTATCATTGATGGCGCGTAATTTTACTATTTGAACAGCAGATAAGCATGTCCATCCATTGCATTTCGAAGTGAATGTGTGTGGCAAGCATACAAAAACACTTCGGGTGAAATGCACAGCTGTTCCATTTCACCGAAATTCCGACTGAAAACACCGTAAAAAAAAGCGGCTCAGGAATGTAAAACTTTTTTTTCTCAAGGACATCGCAGTCTATGTTCACGTCGCCTCCATATGAGACTGATGCGATAGTAAACACATTAAGCGGGTGGGCGTAGTCCTTCGCTTTCGAATTCGTGTGGCTAGACTTCTAGTGGATTCACCACCCGATCAATATAATCACGCGTGAAAATGTACATCTGTTATCATGAGCTGTGTGCTTTCGTGTATGTTCATGTGAGTGGCTTGAACGCAACGAAGGGTGGTAAAAAAATACAGTCATTCGGCTTGACTGAAGCGCAACCAGGAGGGGCAAAGGAGTGAAAGCCAAACACGGTCAATGTACCGCTGCTGTTGATGTCAAACTAATTACAAGCACTATTGCCATCATGATGACAAGGACAGCAACGATACAGACACCAATCCGATTATAAACTGATAAGTTTAATCACTGTCATGAACATGGAGCGTGTAGCCCGAAATTGCGCCAAATTTATTTTAAACGTAACCACATTTATCGAGCGAAATGTCTGTCAAACAACATGTACGCATCTGACCAAGTCAGCAACAGTGCCGTGATGCACAAATCGATGTGTGGGGTACCGGTCCTATAAGCAATGTTGTGTACGAGATACGCAAAGATTATCGTAAACTAACAGCATCAGAAAGACTTGGTTTCGTTTACGAGACACTTGAAGTTGCCGTCGTGCCTTCATACTGATCACTTGTAGACAGTGATTAACTCCTATGAGTGTTTAACAATAGGTGTACATTTACTCTGAAACCGGTCCAGAAAGTTCAGACAGCTTGGTAGCAGTTCACGATGTGTTCATCTCTGCGTTGTAAAATGTGGTGCAATCTGAAGAGGTGACCCGGAAACTAGTCAGGTTGATGAAGCTGCGCTACACTAGAACAAGGAGAGGGACCCATGAATGCGAACCCAAATATTCCATACATACTTCAATTTATTGCAGAATGGGTAATGTGACCTGTAATTTCCTATGTCAACTTAAATTCTCCGATGTGGTATTGGGAAACAAGGTGTCAGCGACCCGTCTCCGATCACCACATCGCAATGAAGCTACAAATAAACACGACCGAGACCCAGTTCCTCATAAAAGGTACGAAATCAGCGACTGAAAATACCCAGGCAGTATGCTGTTCCCAACAGAGATGAACCCGGCGTGCGACTGTCGAACTGCCGATAACAAGAAGTATGGGTGAGTATGAGTCGTACACATTGGACCATCCTTCGCCTTTGTTAATCAATTATTTGAGGCCTAGTAGTGAAACGGGAGTAGCTGTTTCGGAAGACTATTTCATTAATCCAATCGCTGCTGTGATGTTGATGATTTAACAAGTTCGGACACGTTTTGTGTAACTAAAACACTCAGTGTACCCGTTTTGCGTTCGTCTGGGTGGCTCTGTCAGCTGTAAGTGAGGTAGTTGGAGACCTGGACTAAGTGGTGTTCAATAAGATGTGAAATGTTTGGGTTAACCCGTTGTCTAAAGCATATGGCTCATAGGGCCAGTGTCTAGTTCAACCGACCAGACGGTATTTCAGATCTCCGGGTGGTGAATTACTATAATCTCTCACAGCCGATAATGTTGACTATCACTTCACGAAAATCGGGTGTAATCAGGTGCTTAGGTTTCGTGTGAACCTCAAAGGTGAATAGAGCAATATGACTGAGCTTTATGCCTGATAGCTTCGATTGTCAGTGTTTAACTGCATTCAAAAAACGACGCGATATTCCTGCTACCTCATATGAGTCTGCAGGATAAGAACGTCGGATAGTCTTTCAGATAACGAACTTGAGTGACTTTTAATAGCAGTACACCAGCAGAACTCCCTGTGATCTTGAAAACTACTAGCAAAGCACAACTTCATTATAACTTACCCACCCGGGGCTTTAAAAAAGTCAGTCAGTCAGTGTCTTTTTGTTACTGCTTAAGATGGCGATAGCATGCTACATCCAAATCGGTTCGACAGATGTCAGAAAGAGGCACATACTCACTTTTTGGGTCATTTCTGACGAAATTCAAGAACACAAAAAGTAGCAAAGATGGTCCGATATTGGGGCACATACGTATCTTGACAGTGTGGCCCCCACTACGTTAGTGGGACTTACTACAACGGCCTCATGCTCTGAAAAAAATTTGCACGAACAATGGAGGCTGCCGCGTTGATGCTCAAAGAACCTGAGATGGTTTACGCCAAGTTAAATCAATTCGACTGTGCAAAGAAGTTGGAAGAAATGACAAGCTAGTGCGCAAACACGCACACATATTCATAAAGTGGTTAGTTAGGCTTTGGAGATAAGATCGATGGATGTTCGTTTATCTGTCCAGCATAGGAAATCTGAAACACGTTGTATGACCAACTGGGACAACACCATCAATGAATCACTAGTGGGGGGATAGCTTCAATGGAGTTGACAATCCTAACGAAAGGATCAATAAGCAGTAACGTAGGCTGGGCACTATTATGGTAGCTCTTTTGCGGCCCATCGTATATAAGCGCCTTACGTGACATATGAAGGGATACACGAACGGCAAACAAACTTTAAATAAACGTTTGGGTAATGGGCGACAGCATGCGGATACCAGTCACGATGACATCATCGGTGTGCATATTTGCGAGACCAAGTTCTGTACACAGAGGAACAACGAAAGGAGAAAACCGAAGCACCGATTTTGCGAATGAGAATCATATAGTATGGGTTAGTCCAATGTTGTCAAGAGACCGGAACAAGGTTGGAAATTCGAAGCACAATTAAAGGGTCGGTGCTCCGCTCTCACCGACATAGACACTCGGTTGGATGTTACCGTTTGACAAGTTGTTTGGAGTCGGAGAAACTCCGTGTAGTAACACCCGCAACACTGGGGCAGGGCGAAAAGAGTGCCAGTCCACAATCAAGTATGCAAGCGTCACAACAACCCAAACGACAGACGAAACAACCATACGCAAAAATGTAACGGGAAACCTTCAACGCGTGGAACCAGACACAACCAACCGACAGGTTGTGCCGGATAAAATGTCAGACCATTCGGCTGAAACCATCTTCCAACAACTCCCTAATTTAACTAGGAGCGGTTAATAGTGATTTGTCAGAAAGACAGGGTCTGTGTGATATTTAACTCAACTGCCAACTACGCAAAATATTACCGATCAGTGCACTAATTCCAGATCAAGTTCCTCAGCTCACTTGGGAAACCCGTGTCTAGACCTATCTACGGAACGAGGCTTCCCGCTTTTTTTCAATCCATCAAGTTGCTCCGATGATGCATAAAGGCTGAAGTACTGCCAGGTCGCCCAAGCTTAAAAAAGAGTACTGGAAAAGTTAGAAGTGAACTTGAAACAAATACACGCTAGTTAAAAACTCCAGCCTTGACCTATAGATCCCCCGAATCTCTTCAGTGGTTCATAATCTGGACGTCCCGAGGAAAGCTAGGAACGAGTTCCAAAGATCCAAGAAGGTTTTTTGGTTACGAAACGAGAGCTCACTGTAAAATCAGCCACTCCTGAGGTAATATACCTAGATTCAGAGCAACGTGCGTGAATGGGCTTCCAAAGTTATCTTAGCAGTACGAATATTTTAGTATTTACTAACAAACGGTTTAGAATCAGCTATATTGTGGGCTTCGTGACTGAGCCAGGCAGCTAATTTGCACACATTTCATCAGCAGCTGAGACGGGCGGCGGTCGGTTTTCAACAGACTGCAATCTTGAGATTAATTCAAGACTGCAGTAACGTGCCTTGGATGCTTAAAGAAAGGTGAGAACTGTAATACCTTGAAAAAGTTCCTTCAATTCTTTCTCATTTCTGAGATAGAAACAGCGTATCACGGATGGTGAAAATATGACGCATCATCTCGGGGTGATTCACATCACAAATGGGTCAAAGTTAGGTTGAACTCCAGTGGTTTCAGGGCACTTTATATGTCTACTAACCTTCGGTGTAGTCAACTCCAGTGAACTGTTTTATATAACAGTTAACCTATGTACGGCAACAAGTCATGCGAAACTATCGCATATTCGTGAATGAAATTCACATGAATTTATATGACCGGTGTGGAGCTTAAGATGGCTCAGTGGTGAAGGCGCGAACTTATTGACCAGAGGCTTCGCGATTCGAACCCGACCTCTGCATCTCGACTGCTCCTGTCTACGCTGGGCCAACCTGGCAGTATCTCGGCCCTCGTGATTCCTTCGGGTGGTATGGCAGCTAGACGCCGAAAGTGTTACACCTGGACGAGTTCGTTCCATTTTTCACATGGCCGGTACTGTAACCATTTTCAAGAATGGCCAATCTATGGCAGCCAAGGTGCATGGTTATTATCCGGTAGTGGATAGCCGTGTTTGTAAACGCAAAAACTGGGTCAAAGGTTTTTCATTACCCCTTAGCTACTTCTGACGGAAGTTTGGGCGGCAAGAGCAGTCAAAGGAATGCTATTGCGATGACAAGATGCCTCATTTTGGGTGATGGAATGAAATGATGAAAATGATCATTAAATCTTACAGGAAACACTGACTCGATTGAACTCCGTTGGGCGTGCATAAGCTATGCAACACAGCCTAAAGCGTCCACATATCGCTGCAAAAACACCTAGGGCTTAAGCTTGCCAGACCAGGACGAACGGTCTCGCTCAAAGCAATATGTGATATCCAAAAAAACAAGAATTAAGTGTGAAGTTGCGAGAAATTCGTCACCAACTGCCAAGAACAACTTACCCGACAAAGGGGAATCTCCTCAACAGGTCCTACTCCAGTCTCTTTTTCCATCCGGGAAACGTAGAATGCCAGGACAAATGGTTTCAGGACAGCGTAGGTGGGGGACCAGATCAGCTTTTTGCGTCCACGACCTTTACTATCCAAGTCGACAACTTGTTCCAAACTTTTTGAATATAATTCATCCAAGTCCAGCTGAGAGTCATGGTCGATCATAGTTCGGGAACCTGGTCCAGAAACCTGGTCACCAATATCACCTGCAGCAGACATACCCTTCATGGGGGTTGAATGGGTCTGTGGGGCTTCATCTAATCGGCTATAAAGTTGATGGATCAATGCATTCAATCGACTGATTTCTTGGTCCTTGAATAGGCTTTCTTCGGTCAATCGAGTTAGCATTTCACTACGTTCGGCCAGATCTTTCTTCTGTTGATCAATCGTTCTTTGCAAATCCGCCTTTGCCTTTTCTGAGGTAGATTGCAAATTTTTGTAATTCTTCGCCAGCTGCTGACAAGCCGAATGATCGTGATCTTTGGCATGTTTCTTACTACCTCCCGGTGGTCTACGACCTTCCACTTCGTGTAGCAATTTATCCACTATGGCTTTCATATTGCGTTGTTGCAGTTCACGCTCTTTCTGAAGGCGGGACACTTGTTCTGATAGGTCGAAGCTGCTTTCCTCCGCCTTGGTGCACCTATCACGCATTTCATCCAACTGACCCGATACATCATTCAACTCTGCCAGACGTAAGTTGGCCAGAGCTTGAAGCCGTTCTACTTCAGTTGCAGTATGTTCCCTAGCTGCCTTCAGATCATCCTGGGCGCTGCGTAGTTCAACCAGTGTTGAGGCCAAAGTGGACTCAGTGGAAAACAAGTTTTCTGTCAGGGTGCGCTTGGACGCCAGTGTGGTATCAAGCTGGATGCGCAGTGCGTTCAGTTCCTCTCTCAGTGTTTTCTCTCGCGATTCAATAGCTGAGCAGGATTCGCTCAGTTCAGTCACTTGGGATTGATAAAGGTTGCAGAAACGCTGTGCCTCCTGTAGCTGATCGGTAAGCTCGGCAACTTGTTTGGTGTGGTTCCGATTCAAGTTGCTGGCTTCGGTCATCAAGACAGTGGCTTTCTGACGGGCCTCGCGATTTTCAGCTTGCAGGTTGGCAACCTGAAGCTCAAGAGCTGATATCATCTCACGCTGACGAGAAGGGTCATCGGAACCTTGAACTTGTTCCGTTTGTTTTAATTGTTCTTGTAGTCTGACCTGTGTTTGTTGTAGTGAGACATGTAGTTGCTCAATCTCAGTGGTTAATCGTGTTTTTTCCTCCTCCAAGGCAGAGACTTTGCGGCGTTCTGCCTCGCATATTTCCGTGGTGTGTTGGAGCTGCGTCTTTGTGCTTGCTATATCTTTGGTTAGGCGATCCCGCTCAGCCTGAATTGTGGCACAGCGCGAACGTAGGTCACTGAGGGTCTTCTCCAGTTCCAAGGTGTGGGTTTTAGTTGCATCGAGTTCCGAGGTGGACTCACCGAGACGACGTTGACTGTCCTTGAGGGCCACCTGGTCCACAGCAGCTTGCTTCTCCAGAGTCTGTATTGTAGCTCGTAATTCAGCTACTTCCGACTCCAAAGCCTGCAATCGGCGGTTCGTATCAGACATAGATAATCTGTTCGCTTCGGGAGTGGTGTCCACTTGTTCCTGACCTCGCAAACCACCACGTAAATAAATATGGTCCCTGTTAAAAGTGTAACCGGCAAACGACAAGTGATTCCCGGTGAAGTAATTGGGAGCAGGGGGCTTCTTAGGAGCGAACGCTCCACTAGTTGAGGGTAATTTAGAGACACCAATGGAGAAAGAATTAGCTTCATTCTCATCGAAGTTTATGTTTGACGTATCGGTTTCTGAGTTTACGACAGGTTGGATGGGAGGATCCTGAGACCTTAATTGATGCCAGGCGACGTTTTGGAAAAAAGGGTGAGATTTCACTTGGGCAGTTGAGGCAGCGATTGCACGATTACTATCATTTAACATCGACTGGTCATTCTCATATACGACAGCAAGGGAGCCTAATCGAGTGGCTGCAGATCGGAGGAGCGCTCGGATCAAGTTCTCCAATTCAGGCGATGGGGGATCACCATCTTCGGGGATTTTGAAAGACTTCTCGTGGGCTAGAATACGGCTGTAGGTTTCCACTAACGATTGACCATAAAATGCGGGTTCTCCAAACAGCATTTCGAAAGCAATGATTCCCAATGACCACCAATCACATTCAGGCCCAACTTTTCCCGGTTTCGATTGACAATTCAACATTTCAGGACTGATGTAATCTGGTGTGCCGATGGGGGATGTACAGTAGTGGTAGCCATCGTCACCCACACGGACACACGACCCAAAATCTGCTAGCTTCAGATGTCCGCGGGCGTCAAGTAGCATGTTGTCCGGTTTTAAATCGCGATGAATGAATCTCAGGCTGTGAAGTACCTCCAAGGCCAGGATAGATTCAGCAAGATAGAATCGAACTTGGGACTCGTTGAAGGTGTCATATTTCTCCAGCCAGTAATACAAATCACCCCCTGGCATATATTCCATGCACAAGTAGACGTTTTCTTTATCCTGCGTAAATAAAACAGGAATGAGGAGGATGAACGCCGTGATTCAACAGATGGGCAACGTAACGGCAAGCGATGGATGAAAACGGCTTCACAAATCAGTATAGGTGGAACAGTTTGATAAGCTGTTAACACTGAAATATACCGCCAAATGTACACACGTACAAGTACATTAGTGCCCGGCCACCCTTTTAGAGAGGGAGCCTTGAACAAGAGAACTATGTAGATAAGTGCGACTACGAAGAGTAAGCTTCCGCACAGCAGAATGTTGTGCAATTGGGGGGATGTCTGCAGTTCAGGTTACATAGGTTGCCGCTGCGTTATTGCTTTTAACTTCTTTGCAGTTCCCACAGAAGAACAGAACAAAGTCAGTTGTGTTGGCGAAGGAATACCTAAAACTGTCTCCTTTAGGCAGCAAATGTGCCATTGGATGAAAGCACAAAAATAAAGAGCGATGTTATTAACTGAACTGAAATTAGGCGCCAAACAGACCGGTTTCGCTTCAAGACTCAAGTGGTTTCCGAAAACCATAAACCCGGAGTGTAAATCAAGGCCATTAATTCAACGATCAACTCATCTCTAGGGGCAGCAACCCGGCGGCTATCCGGAATGCTTGAAGCAGTGCGAAAACGAATTGCAAAGTATAACTTGAATGATATATTCGTGTTATACTGAGCACCTTAAACGAGAAACATCTTCGTTGGAATTTCGGTTGAATTTCGCACTCAATATCAATCGAAACCATGGACTAGACATGTAGAAAGGTGTAGTAAAAACATGTTTTAATAGCTAAGCTAAAAGAACGGTCACTCAATTGCATAACTGTTGTGGTCGTACACACTTTCTGGCGAATTTTAACCACAAGCCAGACTAAACTATTGATAAGTTTAGGGCAAACGATCAAGTGATCTGGCCCAGGTTGAAAGGCGAAAATAACCACGAAGCTAATGCACTACTCATAAGGTTGCTGAAACCCTTTGGCACTAAAAGAACGGTCACTCAATTGCATAACTGTTGTGGTCGTACACACTTTCTGGCGAATTTTAACCACAAGCCAGACTAAACTATTGATAAGTTTAGGGCAAACGACCAAGTGATCTGGCCCAGGTTGAAAGGCGAAAATAACCACGAAGCTAATGCACTACTCATAAGGTTGCTGAAAACCCTTTGGCAGCACACCTCCGGTTTCACCATCCTCGGGGTTCATCAGATAGACAGAGTCCCTTTCATTGACAACGAATTGTTCTGACGACGTAAAAAGGGAGTTGCTACACATTGAAGACGATAGCTATGATATAGGAGCACTAGTGGCTAAGATACTGCGTCCTTGGCGATCCCTTGTTGCATCCGGGAGTCCCCAGTCGGGGAGGCGGGGTTTTCATCTGGTCATTTCTTTCACACTTCGTCGCTAGGTCGCAGACTGTTCATCCTCCAGTCGTTCTCCTTCAGCGCAGGTGGTCGAAATGCCTCTGGGAATAGACAGTCCTTTGGCAAGCGAAGCACAATGTTTGACCAACTCATCCCATGGAGGGCGGATGGGTCTTTTCCAAAAACCACTATTGATTCAATACTCCCACCAGGCTCCTCCGAGACACAGAAGGTCTCTGTGTAACTTATGCGCGAGAAGGTCTAGCCTCTGATTCATGACCCTAGGATATAGCCCCCTTTTGACAGACAAATTGACACTACGTTGCACTGTAGAAGTCGGGGGTTAACAGAGCTGTCGTGAGCCTCCAAATCCGAGTAGTCGGTCTAACGAGGTTTAACAGCACCCAGGCAGATGAATCTACCCAGCACCTTGACAGCCTTGTATCATTTCGCCCAGTCAAGCAGCACCACTTCATGCCGCAGAGGTGAAGCGCACGACGCACCGTAAGGCAGAATTAGCTAACCGAAGATGAGACACTTCCAGCTTCTGCAAATGGAGAAATTACTATGCAAAGGGAAATAATCTACATCGCCGATCCATACTGGAAACTAGACTGTCACGTACAACAATTTATGCAGGAAGCACTGCTGACGTACTACCTCACCATATTAGCGGAACTCCTAAGACTGAAATGGACATGTCTTGATCGATAATTTAGACTAGCATGCGTGCACGACGGCAATTGTCGGGACACATCACATATTTAGTCCAGACTAATGGGAATGAGGCTAAAAGACACCACACGGCAAACCGAAATTTATCGATTTTCCAGTAATTAACACTGTTTTCCCCACTAGAGTTTGGTGGCTTACTTTCGCCATTATTTAACTTGTCTTGTCGTTCTAACCGGAGTGGACCTAGAAACTAGGGTGTGATGACCGCGTTGTACTAGTATTGTGTTGTATTGTAATACTGTACTTGTATACTGTCCATCGAGGGTATTGAGTACCTGGTGCTTACAGTTCAGAAAATGCGAAACTACCCGCTACAGAACCACAGTGCTCGAAATGCACAAATACAAGAGAGATTTCCTAGTCAGGGTGAAGAAACTGTGTGCTCATACTAGACATCCTTCGACCCCAGGAAGCCCTCGAAATGGGTGAAAAATCTGAGACCTACAAAATTTCTTTGTGTTTTCTGGAGATTTTGTTGATATCAAATGGACAGGGAACCTGTTATTAATGAAGATAATCATAAAAGTGCCGCAGTATATTGTGCAACCTTTCTCGTGTGAATGAAACAGAACAAATGTGACGAAGATAATTTGATTAGTTTCATTGTCAACTGTGCATGCTTCCCATCACAAGCAGCATAACCAAAACAAATTATACGTAGCTTTTCCGTAGGCGGTCGGTTTGACGAGCAAAAAACGAGGTGAAACCAATCAATAGGACTTCATCGATTGATCGGTCACATGCTAGTTAGTTGCAACCACAAGGTATGTGTGAGTTGTCACATGTGGCCACAGCGCTGCTGGTCATAAACTGATGTCGTTAAGTGTATGTGTGAGCGTTCGGAAGCAGACCTCTGCAATAAGTCGTACACCTTACATATGAGATTTCAAAATCCGAGAATCTGGGGTCATCCTTTGTGACGCTGTCTAGAGTAGGTTGTCTGGCTTTGCGAGGCAGAAAACTCGTACGGTGGCACTTTGCATAGAGCTCAGTTACTATACCGACAAGTTTCTCTCCTATATTTCACTGGAAGACACCCTAACACAAACTAACCAGAATCACCAGATATCCGCTAGCAGAGGAAAGACAAAGAATGTTTTTTTACCCGATCAGAAGCCACTGAAGTAGAGATCCAGACGGCAGCGTGAAAGTATTATAAAGAGACGTGCACCAAAATAAAAATTATATAGCTGTAACACCCTTTCAGTACCAAGCCAATGTGCCACCCGAAGGAAGCACGAGGGCTGGGAAATTGCCATGTTGCTCAAGCCTAGACAAGGGGAGTCGAAATGCAGAAGTCGGGTTCGAACTACGAACCTTCCAGTCAGTAAATTCGTACTCTAACCATTCCGCAATCTCTTGCACCAGCAAGACAAGAAACCAAAAGACGAGAGCCTTGGAAATTAGGACAGTAGAGTGGATCTATTTCCTTGGATTATTTACGAAGAACGTTCAAACAGAAAAGTGCTGTAAGAAGTAATCCAACAATAGGATAGGGGACCTCTGTTACCCATCGCCAGAACGAAGGGGTGGCCAGCTGAAGTACCGTAGATTGATAGTTGCCGCTGTCCAAATCCTCTGCCAGCTGCTTTGAAGAAGTCTCGCAAAGAGGAAGCTGGCCATTGTTTACTGTATCTGCCTACGCCCTAGCTGATAGTATCTTTGACACTACAAATGATAGTTGCTTTGTTACGGCAGGTCAAAGGCGCAGATATCGTTTGAGGTGTCGAGGGCGGGGGGATATGCAAAAATGGGCTGACTTAACGCATCTGGGACTTAATTAGGTGGTCCACTTTGGTTGGACGGTACTAACTTCTGAAATAACCTCAGACTTTCGGCCACATGGTGTCCTCTAACAGCGTGCCAGCCACTGATCCAAAATGATTATGTTGCCATCGGTTACCGATGGTGTGGACCAACAAATGATTGTTGCTCTGCTTGGAAGACGTGTAGATTCTGATCATGCACTCGTTCTGGGTCGATTCCTTCTTCGCAGTTTGGGGCTATGTATGCGGCGGTCAACCAGTGTACCAACTAAATAGCTCGCAGATCTCGAAGTTAAATGGGCTTGCTGAAATCCTATTATGGAATTTCTTGCAGCAAAGTCAGATATCAATTACCACTGTGACCGGATCCCCACATCTTTGCATGCTGGGAGACTCATCTGTTGCACCGCACAGACAGCTTTCGAGCAGAGAACAGCAATGGTGCTCGAATCTCGAAGAACCGTTCTCGTCGGCCAAAACATAATTCAACCAGGTGGATTATCAGACGTTAAGCAAAAATCAGCCTGTTAGCTGACCGCAAATTTTGGTGGACACAGAAACCCAAGGAAATGGGAGACACAGAGAACGCAAAGAATGCTCGAAGATCAGTTTGGGTGATCTGTGCGGCCGTTTCCCGAAAGTCGCCTGTGAATGGAAACATTAGGGATCAAACTGGCACAGCTACCTCTATTAAAAGACGCTCAAACCACAGAGCCGACCACTTTGAACAATCTTCCTGCACCCGTACGGTAACTTAGCCGAACTCTCAAACTGTACTCTATTCAGGACGGTGAGCCTAGAACCACTCTAAGTGGAGCGATATTCTCATGATGACCCATGAGTCGCTAACTTGAGCGCGCCTTCCAGACTGGACCTGGAAGGGGTTGCGCTGCACTCACAGTCAGGTACTAGACCAACATAGAAGCGACCCACAATTTCGATGGTCCTGGTACAATTGAATCTGCTGACTTATCTATTCTCCTTAATCCGCATGCTCAGCAATGAATGTTCCGAAAGTTTGACAGTAAGTTCTTTGTGTTCTTGCTCTTGCGGGCATCCAAGGGTAAACACGGAGCTATCCAGAAGCTTTCATACAGAAATGGTATCCGAAAAGGACTCTGACTCTATCCACCCC